TATATATATATATATATATATATATATATATATATATATATATATATGTATGTATGTATATATTATATATATATATTATATATATATATATATATATATATATATATATATGTGTATGTATATATATATATATATATATATATATATATATATATATATATATATGTATACATATATGTATGTATAGTATATTATATATATGTATGTATAATATGTATGTATGTATATATATATATGTATGTATGTATATATGTGTATGTATGTGTGTATGTATGTATGTATGTATGTATGTATGTATGTATGTATGTATGTGTATGTATGTATGTATGTATGTATGTATGTATGTATGTATGTATGTATGTATGTATGTATGTATGTATGTATGTATGTATGTATGTATGTATGTATGTATATGTGGTGTGTATATATATATATATATAATATATATATATATATATATATATATATATATATATATATATATATATATATATATATGTGTGTGTGTGTGTGTGTGTGTGTGTGTGTGTGTGTATATAAAGGCAATAGGTGCATTTCATGCCAAGGATGTCTAGAAAACAAATTGAAGAGAAATAAAAGTGGTGATGAATAAATATATTTACACAAGAATAAATTGCATGAGATTACAGCTAAAACAAAATATACATTCACAGAGTACCCTTCCACATACAAAAACATTGAATGACAAAATTATGCATTCTGTCCTTAATGTAGTGCAATATCATAAATTACTACCATAGTGAAATAATATATAAAAAAAAATCTAACCAAAAAATATTTTTCTTAAGATGAGCAGGTGAAAGAATGACACAGACTATGGTGAGAAATAATTCTTTTTTTTTTTCTTCTCTAAAACATTGAGCTTTTCTACGAGGACCTGCACTGGCAAGAAGGCCCATTCCTTCAGCTTCTGTGAATGTAAACTTATTCATCATTCTCATATTAAAAAAATAGGAATGGAATGTTCACATTGTTTGTTGAGTACCATCCTAGCAAACTATTCATATCAATTCAAACTTTTGGAAAAATGTGTAGTGTATATAACACACTGATAAAAGTTTCACATGTTTTTTTATATATATTTTTATTGTCTTTTTCTATTTTTTTCCTTATCTTTTCTCCTTTTTTTGTTCTTTCTTTTTCCCCTGACGACTGAGAGCACAACTATACATGATGTCAGCAGTAAGGCGAGGGAACTACACCTGATGTCAGGACCTACAGCAACGGGATGTCAGCTCGTCAGGAACTGCAGAAGCGAAAGTCTGGGGACAACAGCAGCCATGGTTCACTATCACAAGCGTAGGTGGGTATCACTGCTACAGTTACATTTTGGCAAAAATTGCTAATACATCTGCAGAAATCTCCGGCTTAGGCTTAGAAATTTATATGGTAAATCTTACATAAACTTGATTTCAGTACAGTCGTGCTCTCAATAGGGGAATGGGGGAGGGAGGGGGCAGAGAGGATGGGGACTGGCTTGAAGAGGTTACCGTTATATGAAGTATTATAACCCTCGCCTTCTAAAACAACAGTGTAAAGTTGCTTTCACTTTCAGTTAATGCCCCGAAAAAAATAGAACAGCTGTATAAATAACACACGACTTCATATTCAAACTATTTTCCCCCTCAATGAAAGTCACACTTTTTCATATGAATTACCGACACGGTAATTTTAACTCGAAGGGTACAATTAAAAAAACAATCTTTACTTTCTCTCCATAATTTTAGTTATATGCCGTTTTCATTGACCACCTAAGCACAGCACTTTTCTAGGTAAGCAAATCAAAATACATCTCACATCAAAAGGACAATCAGTGCACCTGTGTTAAGTCTCACCTGAGTATATATGCTAATTTTCCTTCTCAGTTTACCTCGTCGATTGCATTTGCCTAATAGTAAAATGCTGCCGTGTGGTGACAAGACTACGCAACTGGACGTGAAAAAACTGATTCATTTTGATTACAAATGGAATATTTGGCAGAGCAGGGTGTCCCGTGCCCCGCTCTCGGTGAACCCAGCCTCGCTCTCCTGGTAGGGTGGCGGTGCCTGCAGTGTTATTTAACAACCAATGCATCTCACTCAGTGATCATAATGTTGAAAGTGCAGTGGCGTTCATCCATAAGGTTCTTTCTGTTGTTCTTCTCTCTCTCTTTCTCTCTTACTCTTGCTCCGGATTATATAAACCCGCAATGGACTTATCCCTCAAAGCAGAATGGTAATTGAGAGAGCTTCGCGCCTCACAAAAGTAACTGAAAGGGTGGCAGTGTGTGTGTGGACCCTCTATATACACAATAACTCTATTGTATTAGACCAAGCTATGTTATGTGTTCTCACTCATCGCCAAAGTCTCAACGACGCTCGTTTGTTTATTAAAAGTAAAACAGAGTGGATAGAACATCAACGTATTCAATTACTGGTGTTGGAACAAATATGCACAGGTTCTATACGCAAGGGGCAATACTGAAATACTGCTGGTAATTGTCATGATAATTAACAAGGTGTGGGGATGCCATAATATTATTTCCCTGTCAAGAGTAAAATACAAAAAATGAAACGAAAAAAAAATACAATGACAGTAAGTGCCTCTCCAACTCGTACCTGTATCCCTTTTATACTCCAATGGACCTATAAAAAGTAGTAGGGTTTTTCTCACTCCTTTTCCGTATCCTTCTATCACTTCCCGCATCCTTCCTTTTCTGAAAGATCTTTCTCATGAAATCTAACACCCACAACGAGACGGCAAAGTACATCAGTTCTGTGCTACGACTCTCCACTTCTTTCTTCCTCCCATATCTCTCTCTTTATCTCTCTTTCTTTGCCTATTTTTCTTCACTCTCTCTTTCTCTGCTTCTTTTTCTTCACTCTTTCTTTGCCTTTTTCTTCACTCTCTTTCTTTGCCTGTTCTTCACTCTCTCTTTCTTTGCCTGTTCTTCACTCTCTCTTTCTTTACCCATTCTTCTCTCTCTATTACTTCCTTCGCCTGTTCTTCTACTTCTTCTCTCCTCTTCCCTTCTCTTCCAGTCAATCTAGTCGTAGCCGCGGCGACGAACGGTGCCCGAGAGCAAGTCGCCCTCCTCATCGCCGTCGCCGCATCGTCGTCGTCGTCGTCGCCGTCGTCCTCCTCTTCGCCGTGGTCGTTACTGCTGCAGGCCGCCGTTGTAAGCGTAGTCCGCCTTGTTATGCATGATCAGCTTGTCGTCGACGAAGTAGAAGCTGTCGCTGCGGGTGTCGAACGGGTTGCGGATCATCTCTTCCGCTGCGGAGGAGGAGAAGAGGGTCAGATGCGGAGGAGGAGAAGAGGCAGATGCGGAGGGGGAGGCGGTGGGGGGGGGGGAGGGGGAAGGGGGAAGGGGGAAGAGAGGAGAGGGGAAGGGGGGAAGAGGAGGAGGGAAGGGGGAAGAGGGGGAGGGGAGGAAGAGAAAGGGGGAAGGGAATCGGTGGGGGGAGGAGGAGGGGAAGGGGGGAAGGAGGGGAGAGGGTAAGAGCAAGAGGGGGAGGAGGGAGAGGGGGGAGGGGAGGGGAAAGGGGAAAGAGGGGAAGGAGGGGAGGGAAAGGAAAAGAGGGGAAGGAGGGGAGGGGAGGGGA